TTCCAAGAACCTATTGAGGACATTAAGTAAGGATTTACTGTCCTGAAAACAACTCTATGCCCATAATCCAACAACTTAGATAAAACAGACCAATTCTTAAAATACACAAGCTACCTAAACTCACTAAAAAAACAAAAACAAACAGACAAAACCATATAGTTCTACAACTATTAAAGAAATTGAATTTGTAGTTATAAACTGTTCAATAAAGAAAACACACTGCCCGTATTTTTTTTCTGCAATATTCTGGAAAACATTTTAGGAAGAAACAATAACAATTCTATACAACCTTTTTCTGAATTTATAAGAGAAGGAAACACTTCCCCATACAGCTTATGAAGCTAGCATTACCCTAATAACAAAACCCAGTAACCACAGTATAATGAAAGAAAAATAAAGACCAGGCCAAGTGCGGTGACTCACGCCTATAATCCCAGCACTTTGGGAGGCTGAGGCGGGCAGATCACTTGAGGTCCAGAGTTTGAGACAAGCCTGGCCAAGAAGGTGAAACCCTTTCCCTTCTAAAACTACAAAAATTAGCTGGGTGTGGTGGTGCATGCTTGTAGTCCAAGCTACTTGGGAGGATGAGGCCCAAGAATTGCTTGAGCCTAGGAGGTAGAGGTTGCAGTGAGCTGAGATCACACCACTGCACTCCAGCCTGGGTGACAGAGTGAGACTCTGTTTCCAAAAAAAAAAAAAAAAGAAAAAGAAAAAGAAAAATACCAATATTCCCCACAAACATAGACACAAAAATACTCAACATATTATTAGTAAATTGGGTCTAGAAATATATAAAAACGGAAAATACAGAATGATTAAGTGGGATTTATCCAAAGAATGCAAGATTGTTTCAATTTGGGAGAAGTCAACCAATGTAATTTACCAGATTACCAAACTAAAGAAAAAAAGCATGATTATCTAAATGGCATTTGACAAATTCAAATTTCTTCCCAACAAAAACTCTCAGCAGACTAGAAATGAAAGGAAATTGCCTGCATATGATTAAGGACAACTATAAAAACCTGTGACTAACATCATACTTGATGGGAACAAGATAGGGACATCCTTCTTTCACCACTGCTATTCAATATCATAGTAAAAGTTTTAGCCAGTGCAACGAGGCAAGAAAAAGTCACTCCAATCAAAAGGGGAAAGAAAAAACTCTATTTGCAGGTGACAGAATTGTTTATGTAAAAACATCCCAAATAACATATAAAAAAATCTCTAAAGCTAGTCCTAAAACTAGTAAGGGAGTTTAGCAAGGCCATAGGGTAAGAGATCAAAATACAAAAGTCAATTATATTTCTATATACTAGCGACAAACAATGGATTTGAAATTTTTAAAAAACTATTAACAAAAGGTAGAAAACTTAAATACAAATCTAACAAAATATATAGTATCTATATGTTGAAAACTGTAAGACACTAATTAAAGAAATCAAAGAAGACCTTAGACATGTGGAGAGATATGTTATCTTGGTTTGGATGAAAAATTATATGGTCACACTATCTACACGGGTAATAAAAGCTACTTTTATTGATTTGTGCATATTCCCAGCGCTTGTTTATGCAAATATAAAATTCTTATCCTCCCTGGTGTTACACAGTACCTCACTTGTTCAACTTAAAATATATCCTATAGAATTTTCCATAAGTATATAGGAATTTTCCTCATAAAAATTTTTTATCATGAAAACAATTTTAGACATACAGAAAATTTATAAGAATAGCATAGCAAATACTCACATACCACCACCTGGATTTCGTTATTTTCTCTGATAAACGTGGTATTTGATTGTGTGAAGTTAATTCATATATTTCTCATTGCATAGTTAGATGCTGTAAATTCTGTCTTACCCCACTGCTGTCAGATGGGGTGGAGAATGGTAGGGGATGGAGTCTAACCAAAATGTATAGGCTTTGAAGCGAGACACAGCCAACTCCACACACCCATTCTGTCACTTATTGGCTGTATGGCCTTTAGGCAAGTTGCTTAACTTTCCCCCGTGTCAGTTACTTCATCAGTAAAATGAGAATATAACTACTACACCAAAGGTTACAGTCAGAATCAAGTGTGGTGATATGATAAAGTACCAAAGAGTACTTTAATCTTAGGAAATGTAAAATAAAGCTGCAGCAGCAGCATCATAGCCTTGACTTTATTCATAAGTTTGGTTAACGGAACAAAGTGAAAATCTACCTGACTATAAAATTTAGTTGGTGGAGCTAAGTGACAGAGACCTTATAAGAAACACTGTTACCCTTGGCCAATTCAATTAACAGAATTATCTTCTCAGCCTTGGGCTGATTCACCAGTGCATTAAAAAGTCAAAGACTCTTTTAATCCTAATCTCTATACCCAGAGGCAGTACTTTACCAAAATATCTGAATTGCCCGCACAAGGCCAGGAACCAGTTAGTGAATTTGCCATTCTTATTTCTTTATTGTACCAACAAGATATGAAAACTTTGGGTGTTTTGTTTGCATTTATTTGTCCGCGGAATACATTTCCTACTCCAAGGTGAAGCAGTTGCAGGTAACTTTACTGCCATTCGTGTAACTCCAATGTCAAATCATCAGCAGCATATATTCTATTTGGAGGCCTTTTCCTGGCTTACAAGTAGAGAGTGAAACACAGCCTCTATTAGTAGAGCCGTTCAAAATGTATTCGTTCACTCACCTAACAAAAACTTTCCAAACCCCTAACGTGTGCCGGGCGTTGTACTTGGTGTTGAAAATAAACAACAAAAATTCCTGTCCTTAATTAGCTTACAGCTCAAATAAGGGGAAATAAGATACATTGACAATTATGAAGTGCTTTGGGAGAGAATAGAATGGCTTCACAGGAGAGGCTGTTTCTGTTGAGCTAGTGAGACTGACAAGAGGACGGCCATTCCCAGCAGAGTGAGCATAACCTGCAAGCACAAAGACATTCTATGCTAGCAGGCTTGAATTCAGAGTTCCACTGGGGCACTAGGTGCAGAGGAGCCTGGAGGGTTCAGCTGAAGCTATTACCAGTTTGATCTTCATCCTGCTCAATGGAAAACTTCTAATTCAATGGGGGAACCATTAAATGCTTTTAAGCAAAGGCCTGAGATAATGAGATTTACTTTTGTAAAAGATCTGGTAGCCATATGAAGGATACTTTGGAAGGAGTAATAGGAAAACCAGTTAGGAGGCTATTGTAGTGAAAGAGAATGTGGTCCTCACGAAATATCTAGGATTTCCATGAATGAAATGATCTGCTTTGATAAATGGGGTAATGTCTGAGAACTATTTATCGACTGAAAATCAAGAGGGAAATCAGCAAGAATATCGGTATGTTCAGCACTATTTCAATCAAAATCCTAGCAGAATTTTTGTAGGTATCAACAAGTTGATTCAAAACATTTGGGAGAAAGGTAAAGGAACTAGAAAGTTAAAGGAACAGCCAAAACAAATTTGAAAAAGGACAAAGTTGGAAGACTATACTCCGTGGTTTCAAGTTTATTGAAGACTTCGGGTCCTTTTCTCTAACTTTGTAATTGCTTAAGTTCTTATACAGTTTGCCAGATGGTGAATAGGGGAAAACAAATGAAAAACACGAATTTAATCAGTTTGGTTCCCTGACTGCTTCTTAATATGCAGATTTGAGGAGAAGGTGAAAACTCTCATTACACAGAAACACGTGGATACACGTATCACCCATTTCTTAATTCCACTGATAAACCAGAGGTCATTGTAAGATAAAACATACATAATAAAAATAATTGGCTCTTTGCACTGACGCTTTAAAAACACATTTTCATTTCCTATTAAAAGCTTTATTTGGTCCCTTTCCCTGAATAATGTATGCAGTGCTCATTTCTCCTTCACCGGATCGGCTCAAAGCTTGATGAATATGGCTGTGGTTTGATGGGCAGCCTCTCCATCTCACGTTGAGGCTTGGCTATGAAAAGAATTAGAATAGCAAGATCAAGTGTCAGGCTAAGTAAATGAGGTCTCATCTCGGATCTGATTGCTTATATGAGAGGGCTGAAGTGATTCTTGGCTGCACTCTCAGGGAGAAGAGAGAAATGCATTTTAATTGCCCTGGCAGGGGTAACAGGTGTTCTTCCAGCTACCAAAACGCAAAGCTGCGTTGTCTTTGCACTATAGAAGTCTTTCCCTTAAGTGAGAATACATATTCTTAAAGCAAAACAAATCAGAAACGCTGGCGTGGTGATGCACACCTGTAATCGGAGGACTTTGGGAGGCCGAGGTGGGCGGATGGCTTGAGCCCAGGAATTCCAGACCAGCCTGAGCAATATGGTGATAACCCCGCCTCCACGAAAAAATACAAAAATTAGCCAGACTTGGTGGCGCGCTCCTGTGGTTCCAGCTATGGGGGAGGCTGAGATTGGAGGATCGCTTGAGCTCGGGAGGTCGAGGCTGCAGTGAGCAGAAATCGCACCACTGTAATCCACCCTGGGCCACAGAGGAAGACCCTATCTCAAAAAAGCAAACCACCAAAAAAACCAGGGACAGTTCAATGCTCTTTTTCGTTTCATAGCTACTTAACACTCAAATTTACAAATACCTATTAACTCGTCGACAGGGCAAGAAATAATTTATGCTGAAGAGACGAAAGACCAGAAAGCACATTTCTGTGTTTTACTCTCCATGCGGCCATCATGGACGAGGACGAAGAGGGACATGATTTTTCCTTTAACAAGAAGAATGCTTAAGCTCTGAATTTTTAACTAATTTTTATGCTCGTTACTCTGCTGTAGGGTATGTATTTACCAAGATTAGCAGAACACCGTGAGTTCACCAGGCAGAGACAAGTCACTGTGAAGTAGATAGCACAGGACCTCCCGGAGGGCAGCGGCCAGAAACTACATATCCCGGCGTGCCCCGCTCGAGAGCACAATGGAGCCTCTCGTCATTCGGTTCACGACGTTACGCATTCCCTGAGCGCCGCCGGATGCCGGCCTGGGTCCCGCCCAGGGCGGAGGGCCCTCCTGGGCCGGGAAAACTACAGTTCCCGACATGCCCTGCCACGGGTGCGCCTGCGTACCGGAGCTACTGCGCCGGGGAGCGGGTTGGTTTAAAACGCTGTGTTAGTTTCAAGGAAACCCGCCCGCCTGTAGCAGTACGGAGCCTCAGGCGGACAGATGGACTGTAGGGTGAGGCTGCCGGGCCCTGGGCGGGTGAGCTGTGGTCGGAGGCTCGTTGGGGAGAGGCGTCGGCTCAGATAAGGACAGTCACCACTCCCTGGCGCCCTCTCCCTGTCCTAACGGAGTCCAGTCTCGCTCCCTGGACCTCAGGGCCCTGATTTAAGGCGCTTCGGCGTTGGCTGCTGATGAAAGCCATTTAGGAGTGAAGTTTGCATTGGCCTGGCTCCAGCTGAGGGATGGGAGATAGTCGCCGAAGCCTCCAGATAAGCCCAATACCATCTTTATTTATGTGTTAAGTTGGAGGTTAATAGGTTCCTGGGAAGGCTATTTCGGCGTTAATGTTTGATTTTTACCCCCAGTTAATCCTGCCTGGCTTGCTTACCAGAATATAGGTGTCAGGAATTTGCATTTGTTCTTTACGGCTTCTGCAGTACCTGGCGCTTTTGCTAGAACGGAATAGATATTCGTTAAGTTCCTGTCGAAGTAGTCTCCTGTTTGTTTACCACCCATAATTTCCCAGGCACTGTACTGGGCTCTAAAGATAGAAAAGTGTCTATTTTGACCCCACTTTAGGGAAGTTCTATTAGTCTGCCCTAAATGCCCGCACACACGTGCTTCTAATTTGTTAATCTTGGCGTGCTCAGGACTAGGTCCTTTAATCCTTTCTGTTCTCTGTTACCCCGCCTTATGGTTTTCTTGAGCTCTTCAGAGACTAATCTCCAGTCCACACCTCATCCCCAAACTTTAGATCCACAGATTCAGTAATGTATCTTTCATGTTTTAAATTTGACATTTTAAAAACTACTATCTTTTCCACAAAACGGATTCTTCCTTAATAAGTTTCCGTTGTCTCAGTGATAGCACCATCCAGGCCAAAAACCTTGGAGTAATCTTGGCTTTTTCCTTTCCCTCATATCTCATATCTAATACATCAGCAAAAGCTGTCTTTCAAGTATATCTAGCTACTAACCTCTCTTACAGTAAGAATACCACTGCTGTCACCTTGGTTCTGACCAGCAGCATCTCTACTTCTGCTCTTGTTCTTCCACCATTTCGAGTGGGAGGGAGTCAAAGTGATCCAGTTAAAAGGAAAATTAGATAGCATTCCTCAGCTATAGACCCCCAGTGGCTCTGAGAATCACTGACAGCAAAAGCCAGACTTTTACATTGGCCTTCAAGGCCCTGTGTATTCTGATTTATTTATTTATTTTTTCTTTGAGACAGTCTCGCTCAGTCGCCCAGGCTGGAGCACAGTGGCGCGATCTCAGCTCGCTGCAAGCTCCCCCTCCTGCGTTCACGCCATTCTTCTGCTTCAGCCTCCTGAGTAGCTGGGAGTAGCTACAGGCGCATGCCATCACGCCTGGCTTTTTTTTTTTTTTTTTTTTTTTTATTTTTATTTTTAGTAGAGACAGGGTTTCACCGTATTAGCCAGGATGGTCTCCATCTCCTGACCTCGTGATCCGCCCGCCTCGGCCTCCCAAAGTGCTGAGATTACAGGCGTGAGCCACCGCTCCCGGCCGTATTCTGGTTTTATTATTACCATCTCACTTCATCTGTCAATGTTTTCTGTGTTACTCCTTCCTCTCCAGCCAAACCCACGTCATTATTGTGTGTGAACTCATCAGACCTTCTAACTTCAGGCCTTTGCACTTGCTGTTTCCGTCTTCTGGGCCTTTCTGCCCTCTGATATCTATATAGCAGGTCTTTGCTCAAATGTTATGAGGCTTTCTTTGACCACACTGCTTAAAATGAAAACCTGCCCTGCAGCCTCCATCCCACGTTCTTTCCTATTTCATTTTCCTCCTTTGCACTTATCAGCAATAAACAGACTATGTATTTTACTTACTGTCTGTCTTCTTCAACCGGAATATAAGCTCCGCGAAGGCAGGGAGTTTTGTCCGTACTGCTCTACCCCGCCCACGCCCCGCGCCATTGCCTATAACAGTGTCTAGCTCTTGGTAAATGTTCAGGAAATGTTTGTTAGATGTGAGTGAATGAAGATAGTGTTACCATATTATTTTCCAGTGGTTGTGATAAACAACATTGACTCCCTGGACTGTTATTTTGGAACCAATGGCATATACTTGTATATGCTTTTGCCAGTGTGCACCTATTGCCAGGTGTAGGAATGGAGCCTGTGTCCACAGAAGCAAGTGTTCTCTTTTCAAAGTCATCTGGCTTTTACTAGTATATTACTTGTGACATGGGTCTTTTTCTTGCCATGCTTTCCATAAGGTTACCTGCCTAGAAGCTCTTTGGAAATTTTCCCCCTAAACATTAAGACAGAATTCTATTAGTTTGATAATGATATCTGCATAGAAATTAGTTATGAATGAACTTTTTTAAAATTAAAAGTTTATATCTCAGTATTTTTATTGCTGTTACTATCAAGCATTAGGACTTAGGTTCAAGGCAGCCATCAATATTTGCTCCTTTTCAAACACAACAAAGCACAGATATGTTAAAGCTGTTTTCTCTTTGCTAGAATGTCAGCCAGTAGAGGTAGATTCTTTTCATGTAAGACTGTTCTTCTTAGACTATGAGCCATAGAACTATGACTTATGAGGATCTGCCAAGTGGCCAATGGAGAGTGTGTGTGTATTTATGTGTGTATAGGTGTGGGTGGCATTTCTGCTATCCCTGCTTTGGGCCTACCAGATAGGGAGGACAGACAAGGGTATGAGCAGCTGCAGCGAAAATGAGAATCTTTCTCTAACTTTAAGCCCCAACTTGGTAGATTAATTTACTGGATTGAAAGTTCTTATCTCATACTTTAACAGCCTCCCGGATACTTGGGGACTCTGCCTGGTGGCTTTAAGACTGTCCTCTTGCTACTCAGCCATCATTGCCCCCTCCCTTGCTTCCAAGGACTCTCCTGACCTTGGCATTGTTTGGTTTTTGTTTTTGTTTTCCCATGGTGGGAAGTGGAGGTGGTAGTTGGAGGGAAGGTTTTCAGCTAATCCTGAGACTCGTTTTTATCTTTATTTTTTTAGAGACAGGGCCTTGCTTTGTCACCCAGGTTGGGGTGCAGTGGCACAATCATAGCTCACTGCAGCCTCTACCTCCTGGGCTCAAGTGATCCTTGTGCCTCAGCCTCCCGAGTAGCTAGGGCTATAGGCACAGGCCACCATGCCCAGCTCATTTCTAAACATTTTTAGTAGAGAATAGGGTCTTGCCATGTGGGCCAGGCTGATCTGGAACTCCCGGCCTCAAGTGATCCTCCCACATAGGCCTTTCAAAAATGCTGGGACTACAGGCATGAGCCACTGTGCCTGGCCATGAGATCTGTTTTTAGTAAATCCCCAAAGGCTAGATTGGCTTAATTTTTGCATCAGCAACTTTGATGACCTGAACAGGATTCTCAGCGATTGACTAAGAGGATATTTTAAGGACAACACCATGTATTTCACTCAAAAGCTTTGTCCCCTGCCTACCATCAATCAGTGTCCCAGTCACCTCAATCTCCCCCTTCTTAGGGTGAATTTTCTATAAACCTCCTGCCCCTCACAGACTGGGGCAAGTTGGTTCCTCCTTTTTGAAAGTATATTTTCTCTATGGAAGCCTGAGAAGCTTCAGTGTAAAGCAGGGTCGGGTGGCACTGGGTGTGGATGCAACCAAATTCCTACCACGAAATGTTGGACCTTCTTTTTTTTAAAACAAATGAAGCAACTTAAATGATTTGCCATTTTCTTTTCATGGCTGAGTGTACACATGTCCTGGAGAGTGAATGTAAGCATTTAATACAGATCATAGGTTCCTTAGGGAAATATCAACAAAACTAGACATTTGAACAATTACGTGAAAAAATTTTAGCTGGGAATCTGCATCCTATTCAAACTATGTGGGGGAGCTGCTCCATTTCCTATATAGTTTTTTCCAAAGATAGACTTTTGCAATATGCATATTAGTATTATGTGCTTGGCTTCTGATATAAATGAACATAGACAAAACTCTATATTATAACCAGCTACCTGGGCCTAATAAATTGCCACAGAAATCGTTCTCCCTCCCCCGCCCTGGCACTGCTTGTCATTTTTACTTCTTCCTTCTACTTGTTTTTCCACCAGCTAATGCCTGGGCCTACCGTATGTAGAAGAAAGTGACTAAAACAAAAACACAAAAGTTTTTAATCTCACATTAGCAGAGTTTGAAGGTTACTGGTTTTGCCCAAATGTCATGTTAGTCTGAGGTGCTCTGTCTTTTCCTTGTGTTTATCGGACCCTGGTGATCCTCGGCTCTTTGTTTGTATTTGAGAGTGAGGTGCTGCATGCCTGACTGATAGAACGCTCTGGGAATTGTGAGGGGGTAGGAAAAGACAGGTGCCATCTTTTCTCTCCTTTTTATTTAGAAAAACAAGAGTCTGCCTAGGAGCCCTTTTGCAAACTTCTGCCTAAAGTCTCTTTGGCCAGAATATTTACATGAGTGTGCCCGCTGAGGCGAGGCTGGGGTCAGGAGCTTTTCTGCTGCTTTTGGAGAGAGGACAAAGGAGCTGTGTCTGCACACACCCTATTACCCAACCTTTCCCTACTTTTCTCCCCACCTTTGGCCTGATTTATCTCTAGGTCAGTAGCTGGACAGCAGGTGACAGAAAATAGAATGGGGGTGTTTCTCCATTGTTACCCCTCCATTTTTTCCCCACCCAGTGCTGTTGGTGGCTCCCCCAACTCCAGCCCTGGTTTATGGCAGCTGATCCAGCCCTATGGGCTTACTCAGAGGCTCTTCCTTTTACTACTTGAGGAATACTATACTGGCTCATGTGGTAACATTACCAGGAGTCTCCACATCTGTGTTTTTTTTTCCCCCAGAAATGTAGATGAACCCTACTTTGAATCTTTGTATGTCCAGAGACTGCATCAATATCTGCATGTCTTTGTCTTTCCTTCAGGAATGAACTGAAAAAAAAGAAAGTTAGTTAATAGAAGGGAGCTTCTTTCACCCCATGTCGTTAAGCTGACTTAACAGCAGATCTAAAGAATGCAAAAAGCTTGTGTCAAAAAATGCATTGTTTCGGGCCCGGCGCGGTGGCTCAAGCCTGTAATCCCAGCACTTTGGGAGGCCGAGACGGGCGGATCACGAGGTCAGGAGATCGAGACCATCCTGGCTAACACAGTGAAACCCCGTCTCTACTAAAAAATACAAAACACCAGCCGGGCGAGGTGGCAGCGCCTGTAGTCCCAGCTACTCGGGAGGCTGAGGCAGGAGAATGGCGGGAACCCGGGAGGCGGAGCTTGCAGTGAGCTGAGATCCGGCCACTGCACTCCAGCCTGGGCGGCAGAGCAAGACTCCGTCTCAAAAAAAAAAAAAAAAAAAAAAAAAAAAAATGCATTGTTTCACAGTAGGGCATGAAAGAAAAATTCTGGTCAGAAACACTATAATAAGAGTAAAAAGAAAAACAGGCTGAGTGTGATGGCTCATGCCTGTAATGCCAGCACTTTGGGAGACTGAGGCTGGAGGATCACTTGAGGTCAGGAGTTTGAGACCAGCGTGGCCAACATGGTGAAACCCCGTCTCTACTAAAAATACAAAAAAAAAAAAAAAAAAAAATTAGCTGGGCCTGGTGGTACACACCTGTAATCTCAGCTACCCGGGAGGCTGAGGTGGGAGGATTGCTTGAACTCAGAAGGTGGAGGTTGCAGTGAGCCGAGATTGCTCCATTTCAGTCCAGCGTAGGTGACAGAGCAAGACTCCGCCTCAAAAAAGAAAAAAATAGGCCATTTTCTGGGACCTGTGAGAAGAGATAGAAAGTGAATTGGAGAGCTATTTCAGGATGAAGAAACATCCTCAGCAGGTATAGCAAACTCAGCCCCACCATGATTCTTGCTCCCACCAGTCCTCCCACTTCATGGGTTCTTGCCGTGGGTCCTGGGACCACCTTCAGCAACTTGAACATGAGGTGGACCCCCCTTTCACTTCCAGGAAGGTGAGGGTCAGGGAGATACCTGATTACGTAGGAAGTGGTAACAAGGTGTATTCCTGATATTCCAAGTTGGACCCTTGTGAACACATTCCCATACGAACACGATCGCTAGAAATGGCTGAGGTTTACAACATGATTAGTAGAGAAATGTCTGTACAGGATGGAGTGTCAGGAAAATGTTTTTAAAGTTTTCATCAATTACTTTGTCATTGAACACGATTCCTTTACACGTTGGGACCACATATAAGCTAATTCTGCTTCTGTCACTAATATCTTGAAAGAGTATTCTCACTATTCTTATTATTTTCATTGGGTTTTGGGGGAGGAGCCTGTGGAAATTTGATGTCAATAGCTGTAGAAAGGTCTTTGCTTTTGCTTGAAGTTAAGGTTGCATGTTATTTTTTAAAATGCTGCTTCAATGTAGGATACATAGTTGGTAAATCATTTATTTTATGACAACTGTACAGAGGTCCAAGTATAGAATGTTTTTCAAGAAGGTTGAATGGTAATAATGTTATGATGAAAACGGCTAGTAATAAAAGCCATTCCCTCAGCAAGTCATAGGTCCTCGTGTGTGACTAATAGTGGCAAATAGAATAGACTAAATTATGATGAAATAAACTACTCATCAATCTTAATGGCTTACAACAACATAGGTTTATTGTATATCATGACATCCACACTGTATATCATGAATGGGTTGTGGGTCTGTTTGATGTCATCGTCACCTTGGGACCCTAGTGCATGGAGAAAGTCCTGCCTGGGATGTTGCTCATCTCATGGGGGAGGGAAAAGAGAGAGATGGTGAAGAACAAGCTGGCTCTCATAACTTCCACCTACATTTAATTGGCCAAAGCAGAACATATGACCATTCCTGAGTTCAACAGGACAGTGATGCCTAATCCTGGCACAGGAATGGCAGTGACTATTTTTGAACAATAATAGGACCTACCACACTAAGATTGTGACTGTATTCTTAGGTGCATATGGAAACTACAGTGTCCAGACCGGTCCTTTCTCCAACCCACATCAATGCTACAGCTTCTGAAACATTCACAGTACTTCAGCAAAGGATGAGAATAGTTGAGGAACAGACCAGTTCACTGAGGGATGACCTAATAATGTTGGATTTTGGTGAAAAAAGGTAACAAAAATGAACTAGATCTCTGTAGGTTGAAGAATTTTGCTTCACTGCTTATTAAGTCACAGTAGTTTGGCAGATGAGATGGATATTTGCAAAAGAACTGAGAAATAATTTTCATTTGAGCATTACTTAGAAAACATTTACAAAATGAAGAGTTGTCATTCTGTGGTAGAGCTAGAGCTACTATCACTTCTTTCCTAAACAAATACTTAAAATGTGTTAATTAGGTATACAAACTTCGGTATTCTGTTCGCTTGATTAAAAACAAATGTAATTTTTCAAGTAATAAAAAAAGATCGGTTATTTTAAAATAAAAAGAGACATATTAAGTTTAAAAGCTAGAATATTGCTTCATGCCATTAATTTGGTCATTTTCTTCTCCCATATTTATCGTAAATTAAAAGAGGTTTTTGAAGTCTTTAAAAATTTTATGATTTAGAATGAGATACTCAAAAAAAATTGTTTTTTCCCCTAGTGCCTCTAAAGAAGTAATTAAAAGTTGGATTATCAATGGCCTGCAGAATCTGTGGGCTTAAGCAGCCAATTTAGAATTTACTGGTGTGATTTTTTAAAAATTACATATATATTTCCTGAGTGTCTCTCATGAAAGGTATCAAATTAGTATAGTGGGTATTGCACCCATGGAATAAATAACCTTTTATTCACAATATAGTAGGTATAGCACCCATGGAATAAATAACCCTTTAGCAGTTAAAGATTAAATTTGGTACAAATGTTGAGTGTGTTGGTAACACAATAGGATTATTTATTATGAATTTAAAAATTTTCTAAACATGAATATATTGCCTCCATGCAGACTTTAATAATTAGTTCACTATAATAGAATTAACATTTAACATTTTTATGCATATAAAATATATATGCATACATATTTTATATGCATATATTATGTATCTAATTATCACATCTTAAATATTTAACATATTTTTATTTATTTATTTTTTATTATACTTTAAGTTCCAGGGTACATGTGCACAACATGCAGGTTTGTTACCTATGTGTACATGTGCCATGTTGGTGTGCTGCACCCATTAACTCGTCATTTACATTAAGTATATCTCCTAATGCTATCCCTCCCCCCTCCCCCTCCCCACAATAGGCCCTGGTGTGTGATGTTCCCCTTCCTGTGTCCAAGTGATCTCATTGTTCAATTCCCACCTATGACTGAGAACATGCAGTGTTTGGTTTTCTGTTCTTGTGATAGTTTGCTGAGAATGATGGTTTCCAGCTGCATCCATGTCCCTACAAAGGACATGAACTCATCCTTTTTTATGGCTGCATAGTATTCCATGGTGTATATGTGCCACATTTTCTTAATCCAGTCTGTCACTGATTTACATTTGGGTTGATTCCAAGTCTTTGCTATTGTGAATAGTGCCACAATAAACACATGTGTGCATGTGTCTTTATAGCAGCATGACAGTAATGGGATGACTGGGTCAAATGGTATTTCTAGTTCTAGATCCTTGAGGAATTGCCACACTGTTTTCCACAATGGTTGAACTAGTTTACAGTCCCACCAACAGCATAAAAGTGTTCCTATTTCTCCACATCCTCTCCAGCACCTGTTGTTTCCTGACTTTTGAATGATTGCCATTCTAACTGGTGTGAGATGGTATCTCATTGTAGTTTTGATTTGCATTTCTCTGATGGCGAGTGATGATGAGCATTTTTTCATGAGTCTGTTGGCTATATAGATGTCTTCTTTTGAGAAGTGTCTGTTCATATCCTTTCCCACTTTTTGATGGGGTTGTTTTTTTTCTGTAAACTTGTTTGAGTTCTTTGTAGGTTCTGGATATTAGCCCTTTGTCAGATAAGTAGATTGCAAAAATTTTCTCCCATTCTGTAGGTTGCCTGTTCACTCTGATGGTAGTTTCTTTTGCTGTGCAGAAGCTCTTTAGTTTAATTAGATCACATTTGTCAATTTTGGCTTTTGTTGCCATTGCTTTTGGTGTTTTAGACATGAAGTCCTTGCCCATGCCTATGTCCTGAATGGTATTACCTAGTTTGTCTTCTAGGGTTCTTATGGTTTTAGGTCTAACATTAAACTCTCTAATCCATCTTGAATTAATTTTCATATAAGGAGTAAGGAAAGGATCTAGTTTCAGCTTTCCACTTATGGCTAGCTAATTTTGCCAGCACCATTTATTAAATAGGGAATCCTTTCCCCATTTCTTATTTTTGTCAGGTTTGTCAAAGATCAGGTGGCTGTAGATGTGTGGTATTATTTCTTTCCCCATTTCTTATTTTTGTCAGGTTTGTCAAAGATCAGGTGGCTGTAGATGTGTGGTATTATTTCTGAGGGCTCTGTTCTGTTCCATTGGTCTGTATCTCTGTTTTGGTACCAGTACCATGCTGTTTTGGTTACTGTAGCCTTGTAGTATAGTTTGAAGTCAGGTAGCGTGATGCCTCCAGCTTTGTTCTTTTGGCTTAGGATTGTCTTGGCAATGCAGGGTCTTTTTTGGTTCCATATGAACTTTAAAGCAGTTTTTTCCAATTCTGTGAAGAAACTCATTGGTAGCTTGATGGGGATGGCATTGAATCTATAAATAACCTTGGGCAGTATGGCCATTTTCACGATATTGATTCTTCCTATCCATGAGCATGGTATGTTCTTCCATTTGTTTGTGTCCTCTTTTATTTCACTGAGCAGTGGTTTGTAGTTCTCCTTGAAGAGATTCTTCACATCCCTTCTAAGTTTGATTCCTAGATATTTTATTCTCTTTGAAGCTCTTGTGGATAGGAGTTCATTCATGATTTGGCTCTCTGTTTGTCTGTTACTGGTGTATAAGAATGCTTGTGATGTTTGCACATTGATTTTGTATCCTGAGTCTTTGCTGAAGTTGCTTATTTGCTTAAGGAGATTTTGGGCTGAGACGATGGTGTTTTCTAAATATACAGTCATGTCATCTGCAAACAGGGACAATTTGACATACTTAATTATGTACCTAATTATCAAACCTTAAATATTTAACATGTTTTATGTATCACTTGTTTCTACATAACAAGAAAAGGTTTATGAAAAATCCATATTAAAATAAACAACAATTAAAAAGTCAGTGGTCCTCATTTATCCCACATTCACCTCATCTTTACCTAATAACAATAAATATATTTAAAATTGGAATGGTTAATAAATGCTTGTTAACAAAAGAGTCTATTCTTTTTTTCTTTTTTTATATTTTATTTTTAATTGACAAATAATTGTATATATTTATGGGGTAAAATGTAATGCTATGATGCATGCATACATTGTAGAATTATTGAATCAGGCTAATTAAGATATCCATCACCTCACATACTTATTTCCTTGTGGCAAAAAGATTTAAAATTACTCTTTTAAGAATTTTGAAATATGCAATACATTATTAATTATAGTCAATGTACTTTGCAGTGGATCGCTAGAACTTATACCTCCTCTTAAACTGGAGCTTTGTACTCTGATGAACAATCTCTTCTTTCCCTGTCTACCTCCTCACCTTTACCCAGCCTTTGTTAACTACTGTTTTACATTCTACTTCTGTGAGTTTGACTTTTTAAGATTTACATATAAGTCAAATCATGCATATTTGTTTTTCCATGCCTGGCTTATTTCCCTATTGATGGGCATTTAGGTTGTTTCTATATCTTGGCTATTGTGAATAGTGCTACAGTGAACACAGGAGTGCATATATCCCTTTAACATACTGATTTCAATTCCTTAGGATGTGTACCCAGAAGTGGGATTGCTGGATCCTATGGCAGTTCTGCTTTTAGTGTTTTGGGGAGCCTCCATACTCTTCTCCAAAATGGCTGTACTAATTTACATTCCCATCAACTGCATACAGGGGATTCCCTTTTCTCAGTACCCTTGCCAACTTGTTAGCTTTCGTCTTTTTTATAATAGCCATTCTAACAGGTGTGAGGTTTTCTCATTGTGGTTTTAATTTGTATTTCCCTGATGATTTGTGATGTTGAGTATTTTTTTTAATGTATCTGTTGGCCATTTGTATGTCTTCATTTGAGGAATGTCTATTCTGGTTTTTTGCCCATGTTTAAAAAATAAGGTTGTTTTCTTATTATTGAGTAGTTTGAGTTTCTTGTATATTTTGAATATTAGTCCTTTATCAGATGTATGATTTGCAAATATCTTCTCCCAATCTGTGAGTTGTCTCTTCATTCTGTTGATTGTTTCCATTGCTGCGCAGAAGGCTTTTAGTTTGATGCATTCCTATTTGTCTATTTTTGCTTTTGTTGCCTGTGCTTTGGGAGTCATATCCAAGAAATCATTGCTGAGACCAATGTCAAAGAAGTTTTCCCTTATGTTTTCTTCTAGTAGTTTTAGTTTCAGGTCTTATGTTTTACATTTGTCTTTAATCCATTCTAAGTTGATCCTAGTATATGGGGTGAAATAAGGGCCCAATTTCATTCTTCTATATATGGATAGCCAGTTTTCCTAGTACTTGATTGAAGAGACTGTCCTTTCCCCATTGTGTATTCTTGGCACCTCTGTTGAAAATCAATTGACCATAAATGCATAGGTTTATTTCTGGGCTGCCTATCATATTTCGTTGAGATATGTGTTGTTATGTAGAAATGTTTAGATATACAAATACTTACCATTGTTTTACATTTGCCTACAGTATTCAGTACAGTAACATGCTATACCGGTTTATAGTCCAGGAGATATAGCCTAGGTATGGAGTGGGCTATAGCATCTATGTTTGTGTAAATATACTCTATGATGTTTGTACAATGACAAAATCACCTAACATCACATATCTCAGAATGTATCCTTGTCATTACATAACTCATTACTGTATTTGTGTCATCCTCAATTTCTTTCATCAGCCTTTTAGAGTTTTCATTGTACAGATCTTTCACCTCCTTTGTTAAACTTATTCCTCAGTATTTTTTTTTGATGCTCTTGTAAATGGGATTATTTTCTTAATTTCTTTTTCAGATAGTTCATTGTTAGTGGATAGAAATGCTACTGATTT